AAAGAAATTTCTAAACAAAGAGTCATTGGCAGTTCTTTCCAGCGAGTGGTTGTTTTTGGCACTTGAAGTTACTCCAAACTGCTATCAAATGCCTCAGTCTAACGCAGAAAATGAGTACGAAGAAGATTTTGTTTCTGACTATATCTCATTAGAAAAAAAATTTCATTAAAAAAAACAAATTTTTTGCTTCGATGGTAAATTGATGCTGATATTTTCGTATTTATGCGAAAAAATTTTTTCTGTTGATTAATGACGTTTTTTAGTAATCTGATTTACTTGTGTTTTGTCATTAATGATCTTTAGTGCAAAGGAAGGAGATGGAAATCAAAAGTGCTTGTTAGCGCAGCTTAGCATATAATTGTATTTTCAGATTCCATGCAAACTTTCATACATTTGAAACGATTTTTTCATACATTTGAAACTATTTTTTCCTGTATTGTATTTAGCAGTACAGTATTAGGTAAAAATCTTCAGATGGTAGATTAAGCAAAATCCAAAAACAAGGAGCAAGTCGAATTGAGTTGAATTAAAAGAGAGCCGCATGGACAGGCTTCTTTTTAATAAGGTTTATGGACCGAACCACTCGTCTTCACATTCAAACGCAACGTGCTCAGTTAATGCACCGCCGGCCCTTGTGCTCCAGACTCGTTGTTTCACACATATAGCACTTCCGTTCATGTACTGTTTTGTCTGGCTATTGCACCTTGTGCAGCACACCCTTTCAACAATTGCCGGCTCGCGAAACTTCTGCGATAGAGTAATTTTGGAAGAGGAATGTTTCGGTACACCAGATCGTAAATATCTTTTCAACACCAGAACAGGGCTTTGTCAATATGACAGAGAGAGAGAAAGAGAGAGAAACAAAACCACAATAAACATCAAAACTTGCATTTCAGATCATTCACAAAGAGAACTGTACGGGTTTAGCGGAATATGAGCCGACATTAACACCTCTGGTGAATACGTGGCTGTATGGCACCGTATTTCGATTTTATTTCCGAAACATTGTTACAGTTTTTATACCATTTTTCTTGCTCGCCTATCTAAATATTCGTATTGTTTCGACGCTCCGTGGGCAGCAGCGAACAGCATCGCTTTTCAAGTTTCGATGCAGTGAACACAAAGCAAGCAAATTCATTATGAGTCAGGAACCAAGGATAGGTGATCTGGGAAAGAAGGTTTGCAGTAGGGGCGAGTGGCGGAAACAAAAGTGGTAATTGCCGAAATTTTTCTGAAAGGTGAAAACTGATCACCGATTGATTCCAATAAAGGAGAGTTAAATCCAAAAGTTTCCCCTCAGAAAAAAATAAATGAATCTGTTTTAGAAAAGTTAAAAGTAGGAGAGAGAGGCAAATATTAAAAATAAACAAAAAGTACACTATTAGCTTTTCCCAGACCCGAGTCCTTGAAGAATTCTTAAAAAATCGTTTTTCCCATGGAGAAAAGTTTCCGGACCTACATTAGTCCAGAGCGGGGATATTATATATCCCATAATCGTTCCGTAAGGTTTTGACGGAGATATAACGGTATGATGATGGTATATGTTGATGCTGATAGAACTGGTACCTCAGACGTTTAAAAGCAACCGCTTTCATGCAGTTTAAGAGGAAGTTTTTGATGCAGGCCAGTTTACCTCCACTTAATTAAGCACTAATAAATTATGGGGAAATTTTACCGTCAGGAGAACTCTTTTGTCATTAAGCTTACTCATTAAGTTTCTAAAGAATTTTTCGTGTTTATCTTGAATTCTTTCGGCTTAGATTAGAGATTGCAGCGTAAGATTCGGTCAGCGACTCGACTAACAGTGCTCATTGTATGCTCATATCTCATGGCCAATGTTCTCAATGTAATGATTACCGCTTGGGAATACATTGATTTCGAATCTGCTCAAACAGAAGAAGCATTCTGGGTTAGTGGTTTTGTGATCAGGGCTGTCCTTTTTTGGAAAGTTATCCAGCATTGCAGAACGCAGCATTCGAGACTTTTTATGCGTTTTGTGCTGTGTAACAGCAGTACAAAACGCATATTGTTACGGGGTTGTCTG